CCCCTTTGCCTGAACACCTGCTCCTACCCCGCCCCCAGCCACTCCACCCCTCCAGAGCTGGCTCTGGGCCACTTTGGCCCAATGCTGCAGAGCCCAGCAAGGCCAAGGAGCGTGTGTTGTAATTAGCAGCATGTCTGACTGCAGACAGGCCTAGCCATAGGCACCCACCAGCAGCCCCTCCAATCAGCTCCCCCTTCCTCCCAGAGCATCCCACGGATCAGCTGTTTAGCAGTGGAGGGGGGGAGAGGAGCAATGGGGTGGGAATGGGAAGAGGTGGGGTTGGGGTGAGGGCTCAGAGGAAAGGGTGGCATGAGGGCAGGGCCTATAGACTGTATTCTTTGAGAAATAAACGTGACGCCCTAGAGTTTTAGAGAGCCCGCCCCTGCCCCATTAAAACACTGTCTGGAGGCAGAGGGAGTGCTGATTGGTGTAGGCTGAGTGAGGATGGGCAGGGTGTTCCCAGGGAAGGGGAGTGGAGCGAGGGAGAAGGACTCCACCCGTGTGTTTTTAGACCTCCAGCTCCAAGGACCTAGAGGCGAGCAGACCCTTGCAGAAGGAAGCAGCTGGGAACCAGCCTGAAGCCTGGCTGGGAGCGACAGAGCAGCTGACCGAGGACACCCCAAAGAGGAGAAGCACTGGGCTAGAGAGGAATCACCCAAGAAAGACAAACTGGAGCTGGATTCAGTATCAACATCTCCCAGAACTACATGGCTATGTCTACACTACCAGGTTATTTTGAAATAACTCCCGCAATAACTATTTTGAAATAAGCTTATTCCTCTTCACACGCAGGAGTTGTTAATGGGCTTATTTTGAAATAACAAGCCCATGATTTCGAAACAACAGGCTTGGTAATGTGGACACTCGCCTTGTTATTTCGAAATAACTCCCCAGTATAGACATGCCCTATAGGGCCAGGAGTACTGAGGCTTGTGAGTAAGGAGGGAGGCTAAGGCTAGCTAAGGGGGAGGTTGTCACTCTGTGTCAGTTGCAGAGGGCTGACACCAAAGGATTTGGTGGGAGAGGAAGTGAACTGACAGGGACCAGAACTAGGAGCCCCCAAACTCACTGCTGCATTGCATTCTGCCCAGGCTTCCAGAACTCTGAGTATAGCTGCATTGCTTGGTATCCGCCTTTTTGTACTATGGCCTTTCCCCAACATCCTTCTCCGGGAATACCCAGGGAAACAGCCAGCATCAAGGATGTCTCCAGAAAGTAGCGCAGTCTAGAAATTCTGTACCCCATCATGGAAGTGTTTAGTTAAGACTTTCAGAATCCTGTGTAGAAGGAATTTCCCCGTATTGCTGAAAAGTAGCATTCTATGAACAACCCAATCCCTATTGTTACACTAAACCCTTTTTCCACCCTCCTTTCACATGTGCCTACTGATGATCCAGAGAAAAATCAGTCTTGTTTAAACATTAAAGAGCCTCTTTAAATATTAAACTGCAGTTCACCTGATTGTTAAAGCCGTATTTAAAGCAGGTTGGAAGCGAGTTTCCATTCTCCAGTATTGGGCTTCCATCCAACCAGTGTCACACAATAGCTGGGCATTTTGCAGCACCTCAGCCAGCATCGTGAGGCTGAGAAATGCCGGCTGACTCCAAAGCATCTTTCAGGGACATTTAGCTTGGGATGAGAAATGGTTCTCAGTCAATAAACTTTCTAATTTTTTCTCAAGATTTATTTAACGAAAAGGCAGCAATCAGTTTCACACGGCTTAGGAGGAAGCAAAACCTTTCCCAATTAGGAGCGCGCCTAACATGATTTGTTTGGAGGCGGGGGAGTTAAAAATAGTTATCGTGATGCCCCTTTCTAGAGAGCCTCTCATTCTAGACTCTCAAATTCACTGACTGTGCTTCACAAACACTGATGCTGGAGCTTCTCAACACTCCCCTGAGGTAGGGCAGTATAATTATCCCCATTTTACTGGCTTAGAAACTGAGGACCAAAGGGTTGAAGTGAGCTACCAAAGGTAAAAGAGTGAATCGGTGTCACCACTGGGAAGAGACTCCAGATCTCGAGTCCCCACCAACCGCTCACCCAAATTATTCCCCATGACACTGCCTTCCCTAGCCGATCATAGACTGTTGTATCAAATCGTTCTTGACCTCTTGACCCTTCAAAATTGTGCCACTGTGCAACCTGGTCTTTTGAAGCAGTTACATATTTGTACTCAGATCTTTTTTGTTTTGTTCATTAGGGACAAGCAAAACAAAAACAAGTACCGTATTTTCCGGCGTATAAGACGACTTTTTATGCTAAAAAACATCCCCCAAAAATCGGGGTTCGTCTTATACTCTGGGTATACAGGCAGTCCCCGACTTGCAGGTACGAACGGGGCTTTTCTCGCCCCGGAGGACACGGACTGCGGGACCTCGCGGTCCCGCCGCCCGTGTACTCCGGGGCGAGAAAAGCTGCTCCGCATCTCTCTGGTCTGCTGGGGGGGAGGCGCTAGCTTCGCATCTCCCTGGTCTGCTGGGGGGAAGCAGCAGCCCCCGACTTACGCGGATCCGCACTTACGAACGGGGCTTTCTCGCCCAGGAGCTCACAGGCAGCGGTCAGCCACCTCGATCTCCGGGGCGAGAAAAGCTGCTCCGGGTGCCCCTGGTCTGCTGGGGACCGTCTCCAGCAGACCAGGGACACCGGAAGCAAAGCCGGGGAGGCGGAGGGGCGCTGGGGCACTGCCGGTTGGCCTCTTAAGTGGGGGTAGTCTTAAACGGCGAGTATAAGATGAAAACCTATGTTTTAACTAGAAAATTAGGGGGTCGTCTTATACGCCCAGTCGCCTTATACGCCGGAAAATACGGTAAGAACTGCGTCTTCTGGGATGGTTACAGAAAAATGCACAAAGATAGTGAGAAAAAAATACCAAACCGGTGCGATTCAAACCACAGCCTTCCAGGGCAAACGCCAGCCATTTTTATTTTGTGTGACTGTATGATTGCAAGTTTACGTGGCTGCAATGCACTGAATGCAATCTCGGATTATGTTTTCATTACTTTAATGGGACAGTATAGTCTCCCCTCGAGTGGAGGATCTAACCCTGGTTCTTTTTTTTACTACTTTTGACTACGGGTGGCAGTCTAATGCATTGTAGGACTTCCTGGTATCTTTATTATTAATGTTCCCCCCTCTTGCCCATTAGAACATTTTGGGGTCCCAGTTACATGGGCATAACAGCCACTGACACCAAGTAGATCGTTTAGCTACTACACTGATACATTTTACAGAGAAACCTACAACTGTCATGCCGATTACAACTGAAAGCAGAATTAGATGCTATATGGGAGCACTAGACCAGGCCCTGTGGAAGTAAGATGCATTTGAGTTAGATGCCTTTTCAACTGGCTTCTGTGCACATGCCGTTTCTTTTTCTTTCTTTCTTTCTTTCTTTCTTGCCTTCCCCATTTTGTTTCCTGGTTGCTGTGGAAAGATGTCAGTGTGTCTGCTCTGCTTTCTGCCTCCCAGCTAAGACCACATGCCTCGGAGTAAGGCACAACCCCTATTTTGTTATCCTAGCAAAAATTGACATCAATTCTGGCAGCGTTGACCTCCTCAGATCTTAGCTTTCAATGTTTCTCCGAGAGGGTAATGGCTACTAACCAGCCTATTAACAGGAGGCCATGCGGGAAGCAATCTTAAAATGGGCATGACTTATGCTATGAATGGTGTCAAGCTAAAACACGGACCCTTTTGAAAAGCATGTAAGTCTTCCCGAAAGGGTCCCAACTGGGTACAGGAACCTGGAGAATTTCTTTTCCCGAATGGACTGCTGACATGCTGAGGGTACAGAATCCTTTAGAATCTTCAGAAGCTAAAATCAGAAAGGCACTTCTCCTTGGAGAAAGTTGGGGGGCAGAGGGCAGCAATTATAGTCTTACATTTTTATGAGTATTGGATGGAGGAAATTAATTGTACAAGGTTAGCGTCTATTTCCTTCCCTCTTCATTTATTTGGTTAGGCCATACTGTGCTGTCCATGCAACATGGACTTTGACGTGTTTTCTTTGCCCTGGCCAGCATGCACTGTGATATTTTTGTGTGATTCTTACCCTCTTTCATTTTCATTAAAACAGAAGTCACCTTACCATAAGGAGAGCATCCCAGGTATTAGAAACTGAAAGGACTGAGTAGTCATTTTGCTGAAAGGCCCCTATCTCTTATAGCAGGCTGGCTTGCTGTTTACTTGTCTACTCTCCTCCACCCCAGAGCTGGCTGCATTTTATTGGTGATGTGATTTCTGCATGTATATTGTTTGTAAAGTGCTTTGGGATTTTTTTGGACAAAAAGTCACATAAAAATAAGTGTATTTTGCACAGGCCTTCCTTTTATGTGGAACCAGTGCAGTTTTAAGTCCTAAAAAGGAAACTTGAAGCTGTGCTGAGAAGTTCCTGAGTAAAAGCTACAACATGCCCCTTTATAATGTGATGTCTCAGTACAACTTGCTATTAGCTGCCAACCTCTGTGCTATATAAGGGAAGGACGAAGAAGCAGCTGGCCCAAGCAGGTTAAACTCATCCCAGAGCATCAAACCACCCATCTCCACACTTCACTGGCTCAGAAATCAAACCGCCCTCTAAGCAGTGTTTGCATTTTATTCTCCAGACTGTTTTCACATCAAATCTCTACCATGTTCACTGCTTGAGTCCCGCAGGCCTAGTTTCCAAGCGTTACATTTGCCGTCTTACTGATGCCTGTTCCACAGTGTCGTTTCTGTGCTCAGTACAGCTCATGGGCACCACGTTATCGACAACTGTCGGCTACCTCCGGGTTTCTTCTTTTCACTTCAAGCATTGCAGCTGGGATAAGCTTTACAAAAACACATGATCTGTATCCCAAGGCAGCTAAAGACACTACAGAGTATGTTGGTTTCACTACAGTCCACTAAGTTTACTTTGGTTTTTCCCATATGAAATCCCAAAAGAAATCCCTTTCAGGATGTGTCCGTCACGGGTTAGTCCTTGCTCCTTTTACTGTATAGAACACCAGCGCTAAAGGCTGCCTGTCTTATGAGGTCCACAACCTCTCAGCGATGCCTTTCCTGTTGTCTATAAAGCTGCAGAATCAAGAGAACCACCTGGTATAGTAATTCAGAGGTAGCCATATGGGTGGGTTTGCTGCTGGAGTCCTAGGTGGCTAGTCAGAAGAATCAAGTGTCTCAAAACTCACAGATCTTCTGTTCAGCCTGGAAAATGAACCATCCATCCTGCCTTCTGTCTGTCTCCCAGCAGATGATCTGTGTTACGAATATACATGGTTATGCAAACGAGTGCATCTCAGATTTATGTAGGCTTCTCAGGCGGTTCCTTGCTTGGTCTCGGTGGCTGTGGCTCATCGCTCTTGCTAGGGCTTGGAGGAGGGGGCCATGTGGTTTTCGGGTGAAAATGGCTGTAAATAGAAGAAGATTTCATAAAGATGTGGGAGAAGGACACAGAGGCTGCATCTAGACTGGCATGATTTTGCGCAAAAGCATCCGTTCCAGTGTAGATGCTGTCTTGCGCAAGAAAGCCCGATGGCTAAAATGGCCATCGGAGCTTTCTTGCGCAAGAAATTAACTTGTCTGTCTACACTGGCCGCGAGTATTTGCGCAAGAACCACTGATTTTGTACATTACAAAGGCAGTGTTCTTGCGCAAATCCTCGCGGCCAGTGTAGACAGGCGGCTGCTTTTGCGCAAAAGCAAATCTTTTGCGCAAAGGCACATGCCAGGATAGACGCTCCCTTGCGCAAATACTTTTAACGAAAAATCTTTCCGTTAAAAGTATTTGCGCAAAATCATGCCAGTCTAGACGCAGCCAGAGAATAACTTAGTATAAAACCAACATACATAACGAGCAATGTTCCGTTTTAGCATGTGTTAAAGAAAGGGATGTTTTATGAAAAAATGGAAGATTGCATATTCTGCGGGGCTCTTTAACTGCCCTGTAAAATTTGTCAGTGCACCTGTTTCTTGCACACTAAGCAGATTTCTAGGGTGCAGTTAAAATGGCCAGCTAAAGGTTTTGCCTTAGACACTGAAACATCTCTCAGAAATAAGGCCCTCGTTCCATGAAGTACATAAGCACAGACTTAGCTTTCAGAGCGAGAGTATTCCCACTGCAGGGTGTAAGTGACTTGTAGAATTGGTAGCTAAATACAACCCGTGCTGAGCATGCTCTTCTGAGCAATAGCTGCAGTGTATCAGAATTCAATGTGAGTGTTTATAAATGCAGTTCTTGGAGCAAGTAATATTCACACCCTCAGTAGGGCTCTTTTCATGATGCAAAACCATATCATCATCATCTAAGAAGATGTCAATCAGATGAGTCCCAGAGCCAGAAAACTCCACCTGCCCTGAAGGGAGGCAGGCTATTAAAACACAACAGGAGCTGGCACTAATATTTGTTCTGCTCTCCGCTCAGAAGGAACTCATTTCCCTAGCATCAGCATTCTCTGAAGGTTGGGTCTCTACAATACGGAAGAAGGAATATGGCCCCTCTCAGCTCTGCTGTCTCAGTATTTTCTTTATTGCCAGGCCTGTGCCCGTCCATGGACTCCCTGATGTCTACCTATTCCTGTTCTAGTGCTCATACTTACAGCAGCCAGTCCTGTACCAGCACCTCTTCCTTAGCGCCTTGGCATTACTCCACCACCCACTGGCTCCCCAGGACATAACTTTTATAATACTCCATAACTTAAGACATGTGACATAAAATCCAGGAGGCTGACTACTACCCAGGCTGTAATGGGTTGTAATTAAGCCGATCTAGTGTTTCAGGCTGCCTGAGATCAGGAGGTGAGATTTGGCTCAGGCAGATCGACGTTTCCGAGTGTGAGTGAGCGAGGCTGTTGTGTTCGGTTTCAGGAAGGTGTCTGAGGTGGGACGGCTTGTCTGGATACAGCGATAAAGGGGATACGTTCAGTTTTGGCCCTGTTTTCAAAGGAAGCTTTTTCATCTTTTTAACCAGAAAGGCATCCCTAATCTGCCACGGTTGGACGTGGCCACAGATCTTCTGAAGGCGGAGATGTTCCACCAGAGCGACATCGAAACTACAGGCCCAGGCAGACTTGACACTTACTCCTCGTGGTTTAGGCTCCTCTCTGCAGTCAGGCACTCGTCCTGGTTGTGTGGTAATGCTGCAGACACAGAAACACAGCCGCCAGTTAAGGCAGGCTCAGAAAACGCCATGACTTGTTCCAGAACAGCAGTGTACAATGCAGCCAGTACCTGCATAAAGCACAGACCCAGCCTGCTCACTGGCAGTGCTATAAGGCTATTGGCTACATTCAGAGTTACTAGGTAAGACAGTTAGCTAGGACACCCATACTCCGCGTTAGAATCCTTCAGACTTGCTTCCACCTATTTATCCAGAAACAGGTGAGGGTAAGGGAAGCACAGCTGACAGAACTTTATGCCACGACACGGTTCATCTTTCTGTTCGTTGCTTTTCTACTCGACTCCTTTTTTCCAGGTCCCTGGGTAGGAATTATCAGGGGTATCCCCAGACACCGCAAAAGAGGGTTTTGTGTATACGGACACACACACACCCCACCACACACACCCCAATTAGTTACATGGCTGTGTTGCCCAAGTAGTCAGTTTTGGCTGGTGTTGGGTTACAAATCAAATCACCTGAAATGTTGCTGTGCTAAGTTACTGCATGAGTAAAGGGCAACGGAACTGTCCTTAGTCTGGAAAAACTTAAAAAACAACAAATAGTCTGGCAGCACCTTAAAGACTAACAAAACATAAAGATGGGATCATGAGCTATCGTGGGTACAGCCCACTTCTTCAGATGAATGGAATATTAAAAGTCCAGTTCCAAAATAAATAGGGGATGGGGGAAAGGAAGGGAAAAAATAGTGAATTAGAGTGTTCATGTTACAAGAAGCTGATAGAGAAGGTAACATGAACACTCTAATTCGCTATTTTTCCCCTTCCTTTCCCGCGTCCCCATCCCCTCAGGCATGCACCCAGCGCTCAAAGCGGGTGGCTGTGGGGGCCATGTCCTCTCTGCACACCACGGACACCATGGCCCAGGCAGCTCTCATTGGCCTGTTTCTCACCACTGGGAGCTGCAAATTTGTGTTGGAGGGAGGGACAGTACACAAAGGCCCACAGGGGCACGTGACATGCAGGGAACACATGGCCCCTGCAGCTGGCTGCTTAGAGCGGTGTGTAGGGGCATAGCAGGCAGAAAGCCTGCCTGAGGTGCCTGCTGGGCCGTGGGACAGTGGCAGGCTAGCTCTGGTGGTTTGGCAGGCCGAATCCAGCCCACGGGCGGTATTTTGCTCATCCTTGGTCTTATCTATCCCTTTCCTAATGGTTCTCAACATCCCATTAGCCTTTTTAGCCGCTGCTACACATTGAGTGAATATTTTCAAGGAACCATCCACAATGACTCTGACATCTCTCTCGAGTGGGAACAGCCAGTTTAGACCTCGACATTTTGTACGTCTAGTTCAGATTGTGCTTTCTAGTGGCACGGCTTTGCGTTTATCACACATCCCACCTTCGCCCTCACAGTTTCCCCCCGCACAGGCGCCAACACCCCACCTGTCAATTCAAACACCCCTCTAATTTCAGTTCGGGGGGGGGGGGAACCCTGGGAGTTATGCCAATCTGGAGCAGCCTAAACTCCCTCCCCTCCAACTCCGTAGGTCAAATTCAGAGATGATCCATAGGGAGAGTCAAGTGTAAATTAATCACCCATCAGTAAACAGAGGAAAAGCTAAGTTTAAGGGAACCTACCCTGGTTTACCAGAGATGGGGTGAACGTGTAAGTTATACCAACAATAAGGACCCTCTGGACTTCCTTAGCTCCAGACTCTCCTCTGAATTTGGGCCTCTACAGCTGCCACATCACTGCGAAGGGTTATTATACCAAACTTACCATCTTTTGTGGTGTGAGCGAGCATGGGTTCCAACAGCTCTTTAGCTTCTGATATCAACAGGTCCATGAGGTCTGGAGATGGAAGAGATGCATCTGAGACGGCTTCTGCTTTATCCTCCTCTGCTTGGCTGTTGACTCTTAAAAATAAAAGAAGTGTCAGTCTTTCCATAATAAAACGAGCAGCACAGCAAAAGGTCTGACCAGCCACACAGGAGAGAAACCTCCCCCACATTCCCTCCCAAGGAAATCACAACACACCAGGCTTCACAGGAGTTTCTCTTTCTGAGTGGTGCTGATGTAATCAGATAGTTAACGCAAGGACACCGGCAAAGAGTTTCAAACAATGGTCTCAAGATATGGGAAATCCTCACCTTGGAAATGTAAGACCGGCCCTACCGGGTGAGACCAATAGCCCATCTGTCTCAGCGGCCTATGCCAGAATCAACTGACAGGGACAATTATCGAGAGAGCCACCTAGTCATCCAGTCCCAGCTTGCGGCAGTCAGAGCTTTGGGGCATCCAGGGCGGGGGTTGCAACCCTGATCATCTCAGCTAACGGTCATTGCTGCCTCCTGTCTTCCTTTCTTTTTTGAACCCCATTATCCTTTTGTCCTTCACAACCACCCCTGGCAATGGGCTCCACTGGCCAGCTGTGCCCTGTGTGAGGAAGCCCTTCCTCATGTTTAAACTTGCTGCCTATTCATTTCATTGAGTGACCCCTTGTTCTTGTGTTCTGTGAAGGAGGCAATTGCACTTCCCTATTCACCGTCTCCATGCCATCTGTGATTTTACAAGGGTGTGTCACACTCCCCCTTCGTCGTCTCTCTTCTAAGCTAACAGCCCTCGTCTTTTCCATCTCTCCTCGTGTGGAAGCTGCTCCCTACCCCTAATCATTCGTGTTACCTTTCCAACCACCTTTTCCAAGTCTAATGGCTTTTTTTTCCAAATGGGGCGAGCAGACCTGTGTGCAGGATGCAAGGCATCGCTGTATCATGGAGTTAAAACGTGGCATTGAAATATTCGTGGTTTTGTTATCCTTTTTCCAATGGTTCCTACCAGTTTGTTAGCCTTTCTCCACAGACCTCAGGAGGCCATCTAACTCAATCTCCTACTCAAAGCAGGACCAACCCCAACTAAATCACCCCAGTCATGTCAAGCCGGGCCTTCAAAACCTCTAGGGATGGTGATTCCACCACACTTCTAGGGAACCCATTCCAGTGCTTCCCCACCCTCCTAGGCTACAGCTAGACTGGCATGATTTTCCGCAAATGCTTTTAACGGAAAAGTTTTTCCGTTAAAAGCATTTGCGGAAAAGAGCATCTAGATTGGCACAGATGCTTTTGTGCAAAAGCACTTTTTGCGGAAAAGCATCCGTGCCAATCTAGAAGCGGTTTTGCGCAAGAAAGCCCGATCGCCATTTTCGCCATCGGGACTTTTTTGCGCAAAACAGTCCTCCCCTGTCTACACTGGCCCTCTTGAGCAAATACATTTGCTCAAGAGGGCTTATCCCTGAGCGGGAGCATCATAGTATTTGCGCAAGTACACTGACAATCTTACATTAGATCGTCAGTGTTCTTGCGCAAATTCAAGCGGCCACTGTAGACAGCTGGCAAGATTTTCCGCAAAAGCATCTGCTTTTGCGGAAAAACTTGCCAGTCTAGACGCAGCCCTAGTGAAATAGTTTTTCCTAATATCCAACCTAGACCTCCCCCCCTGCAACTTGAGACCACTGCTCCTTGTTCTGTCCTCTGTCACCACTGAAGCTGCATCCTCTATACAACCCCCTTTCAGGTAGCTGAACGCTGCTATCAACTCTGCCCCACCTCTCCACACACGGACACTCTTCTCTTCTGCAGACTAAATAAGCCCAAATCCCTCAGACTCTCCTCATAAGTCATGTGTCCCCTAACCATTTTCATTCTCCTCTACTGGATTCTCTCCCATTTGTTCACATCCTTTCCATAGTGGGGCACCCAAAACTGGACGCAATGCTCCAGATGTGGCCTCATCACCACTTCCATTTTTGGATGTGTCTACACTATAATTAGACACCCGCAACTGGCCCGTGACAGCTGCGTTCGGCTCGTGAACCTAGGACTAAGGGTCGGTTTAATTGTGCTGCGGACATTTGGGTTCGGGGTGCAGTCCAAGTTCTCTGAGTCCCTCTCATCTCACCGAATCCTCCAGCCCAAGCCTGCAAATATACACCTCAATTAAACAGACCCTAAGACCAAGCCCCAGAACACAAGTTCGCTGGCATGGACCAGCCACTTGTTTTAACTATGGAGTAGACTGCCACTACACAGTGAGCAGATATTTTCAGAGCACTAGCCATGAAAAGTCCAAGCTCGCTTTCCTGAGTGGCAATAGGTAATTCAGAGCCCACCATGTTGTATGTATAGTTGGCTTGGAATTATTTGTAGTTGAAATACCTATTTATTATTATAGGGTCGCTCAATTAACACTGGAAGCAATAGGTAATTCAGAGCCCACCATGTTGTATGTATAGTTGGCTTGGAATTATTTGAAGTTGAAATACCTATTTATTGTTATAGGGTTGCTCAATTAACACTGGACTGCTGATTTTTTAAGCAATCAGGTTTCTCATGCATTTGTTTTGGAAATCAACACAAAGGATGATGTGGTTTTTCCACCAGTTATTTAAAAAAAAAGATCGGTCCAGTTTGCAGGGGAGGGCTACAAACCTGGAGAATGTGCCTGTAACCTTTCTGAGTCAGAAATGCACCTCGGTTCATTTGCCAAACTCCTTTCAACAATGGTGAATAAGAGACAACAGAACTCCCCATTTCAGTAACAGGTATTAATAACAGAGAAGGGCCCAGCACCAAACACAGGCTCCTGATAGTAGGCCACTTATCTAGGTACCTAATCTCAGGAACCCATCTTTGGCCTCAGTGACTTCACAACAGTCACTCTGACAGAGCTTTCTATTTTCATTCACAAAGTGGCTGCATTTACTCAATATCTTTGTTCAGTGCTTTTTTTGTGTGTGTATATATATAAGAGGTGCCGGTACTCCAGGGGAAAAGTTGTTGAGCAAAAAAATAAAATTAAAAAAAAAAAGCCGGGAGGGTGGGGGGGAGAGGGGGGGCAGCATTGCCCTTTTAAGAGACGCGGCCCCTTTAAGACACACAGCCCAAAATTTGCATATAGAGGTGCATTCTTTCCAGATAATCTCTGCCTGGAGGTGCCAGTACTGCGTCTGGAGGTGCCAGTACTGCGTACTGGGCAGTACAGTCACAAAAAAAGCACTGTCTTTGTTACCTAAAGGAGGACCCACAGCAGCGACTGACACCCTGGAAACACATCAGCCAGCTAAGACCAAAACATTTTAGACACACATTCTCAGCTCCTAGGAGCCATCCCTCACCTCATCTCATCTGGTAACTGGCCGGATATGCTCAGGACCTTGTGCACATTCTGTGGGGGAATAAAAAGAGGGAGGGGGGGGAGAAGAGCTCAAATGTACAGGATTGAATATTTCCAGAGAACAATCCCGTGCATTTTTGTTAGGGGATCAGATTTAGGACGACAGTAATCAGCTTCTATTTATTCACTGCCCTTGAAGCTAGAATCTCAAGGCCTTTTGCAACAGAAACAAAACCCGCACCCTATGCAAATAGACAGACATTATGTAAATTAATACAGATACTAAGACAGATCAGAGGCAAGGGCTATTTTCAAGGAATAGCTTTTCAGACTGGACTTCAGCCTGCCTGCTAGCCCCATTATTCACACTCTGTGCCTTGGTCCTGCTCTTGAATGCATGCCCAGTCGTAGATGGAGCCGCTAACATGCACAGATAGATTGGAGCACTGTTCTGGGCATGGGCTAAGTGATGGCCTGCAAACAAGTCCCATTCTGTGGTGGTAGTCAGTCCACAAATGCCTCCAGTTGGATGTAATCCAGGAAGTCAGGCTTCATTTGCAACTTCGATTGACTACATTAACCACCCTGGTTTGAACTAGGGTGGTAGTGTAGACATACCCAAAGGATCTAACATTTGGCACAGGAAGTGAGCTAGACGGCCATGATAACAGAGGCAGCGTAAACCAGCTAAGCAGGGCTCCCTTCGACCGCAGCCACATTTCAACACTTCACCTGCACAAACAGGAGCAGCTTCCTGTTGCAGATTTCCAAGCGCTTCCGCGTGACTTCGGATTTCCGCAACTGGCCCTCTGCCAGGGAGAGCCGTCTTTTCAGCTCCAGAATGTCTCCCTAGGGTGGGAAGAGAAGGGCGACAGAGCCAGCCTGCCTTAGGCTCTTGGAGGCACCAACTTAAGGACAGGCTTGAAACGAGAGGCATAGGGCAGCTAGGTCCTCAGGAATCAGAGAACTCTCCCAGCTTGGCAGGGAGGTTCCATTCCTAGCAGCAGTGTTCTCGGGCTGCTTGAACAAGCACAGGGGCGTGGACAGACTATGGGCCCCCACAGCTGTGACCATTGGGCCCAGTTAGGAACAAAAAGGGATGATGCAACTACGGATGTACAAAGCAAACCAGTTACCAGGTAAGAATTAGGCTTCCCAGACTACTTACTAGGTAACTGGTTAACTGGACGGTGGGCTGGGCGGTCGGGACTTGGGCAGGCCACGGCAGCAGGCAGGGCCACACTGGCCCTAGGCAGGAGCAGGCAGGACCCAGTAGCACCAGCCCCGGCCATGCCTGCAGCCCAGATCCCAGCCCCAGGCAGGGGCAGGTGGGACCCTAGCCCAGGCTGTGCTGCAGCAGCCCTGCACTCCAGCTGTGCCACAGCAGCCCTAGCGGGGGCACGTGGGACCATGGCTCCGCCGTACCTGCCCACAGCCCCGTACGACACCTGCCCTGGCTGCCCTGCACTGCCCCACCAATGGCTAATCGACAAATGACATAATTTTAATCGTTTAGCCAGGTAACTGGGTTGAATGGTTATTTACATCCCTACATGCAACTCAGTGGTGCAAGTAAACAAAAGTTCTTAGAAATCCAGGAGGGGGAGGGCACACCAGCTAAGGGGGCGGGACTTCCCCACATGACTCTGCCCCCCGCTCAGGACCCTCATGCTCTTCCCCTTCCCCTTCCCCCACATTACCTGGGGGCAGGACGCAGGAGGAGTTGCAGTTGGGAGCAGGACAGCAGCATGTCCCCAGTGTAGATGTACCCAGAAAGACTCCCTGCCAGCCACCCCCACCCTGCCCTGGCTGCCGCGTCTCTGTGTACGGGGCGGGGCTCTGGGAGGCAGGGCTGGGAGCGCTACAGCAGCCCGAGGAGTTACCATTTTTTCTGCTTCTTTCCCCACTGCCCCTCCCAGCAGGGACAGGAGCAGGACTCCAGCCCTGCCCCCTGCCCCTCCACCGAACTGGCGCATCTGTGCACCGGGCTGGGGGCGGGGCTGGCGTTCTGCTCCTTACTCAGCTAGGAGGGACAGCGGGGAAAGAAGCAGAAAAACGGTAGCTTCTCCAGCTGCTCTCCCACTCCCAGCCCTGCCTCCCAGAGCCCAGCCCTGCAAGGGGTTGGCCAGCAGGGAGTTTTCCGGGCCCGTCTACATGGGGGAGTTATTTCGAAATAACAAGGCGAGCACCCGCGCTACCGAGCCCGTTATTTCAAAATAACAACTCCTGCTTGTGACGAGGAATACGCTGATTTCAAAACAGTTATTTTAGGAGTTATTGTTTCGAAAGAAGTTGGTAGTGGAGACACAGCCTCCATGTGCTGTCCCAGCTAATAGAACTCGCCGGTTCAGCGTGCTGCACCGTAGCAGCCCACTTCTGCCATTGGTGCAAGCGCCGCTAGAGAGACTGTTTACAGGGGTGGAGCAGGTGGCAATAGTATTTAGCTGAAATACGGGAATTACCCTTCCCAAACCGGAGCAGCTGGCCAAGATACATCTCATGCCGACTGGCCTCCGCCTTAGCCAGCCTTAGTCCGGTCCCAGTCTGACTTGGCTCCCATGTGGCTCTCTTTGTGACCAATGATCGTTATGATCAGTTGGGGGGGGAAGTGTGCGCAGGAGTGTGTGCATTCAAGATAGCAGTCCCTAGACTGAACCACCTGGGGGCTGCGGGCTCTCAAAGGCAGGCCCCCTATTCTGGAATCGGCTCCCTATGCCAGCCCGCTAATGCAGTCACTGATCTCCAGGGCCCGCTACAAGTTTTTGCCGGAGATTAGCAATGGGGGGGGTGAGGTTCTCAGTGGAGGCACATGCAGTGTCAGTGGAGCCACGGTGATTGGCAGAGGAGCTGGCTTGGGTATTACTCTCTGGGGAGGACGCCTTTTGACCTGGTCTCTGGAAATCATATTAAATATGCCCATGCACCTTGGGACTCTGCTAGCCTCTTGTTTCACAACTTACAGCCAATCTAGAAATTAAATGCTGCTTAAAAAGTAAGAGCCAGAGGCTTTCCCACTGAGTCCCCAGCCAGCCCCTCCTGGGGGCCCATTACCTCTGCTTCGCAGACATGCTTTGTTTTCTTCCCTAGCAGCTGAGTTTTCAGCTCGGTGATTTCTGCCTCTAGCAGGTGGATCACTTCCTCGTAGTCCTGCTCTGCGCTGTGGGCTTGCTGCTGCACCACCTCAGCCACCTGCAGCTTGCTATGCAGGGTGCGGTTCTCAGACAAGAAATCCAGCGCCTTCTGGAATCAGCAGGGAGAATCTGTTAACATCCCACCAGCCCCCAACATTATACCAACTGATCTGCATTCCTGGGCTGCTTTTCCCATGTTGCTGTGCACCAACTATCTTCTATTCTCCTACTAGATATTTTAGTATAGTATTTTAGTTTTATAGTATATTCATAGGCTGCAGGTTTAAAACAAACAAAAGGACGCTGTTCTTCACTTAGCGCACAGTCAACTTGTGGAACTCCTTGCCAGAGGATTTTGTGAAAAACAGGACTTTGACGGGGTTCAAAAAAGAGCTACATAAATTCATGAAGGATAAATCCATCAGTGGCTATTAGCCAGGATGGACAGGAATGGTGTCCCTAGCCTTTATCTGGAAATGGATGACAGAAGAGGAATCACTTGATGATTCCGTGTTCTGTTCATTCCTTCTGGGGCATCTGGTATGGGCTGTTGGCAGACAGGATACTGGGTTAGATGGATCTTTGGTCTGATCCAGTAAGGCCGTGCTTATGTTCTTAGAAAAGTGCGCCTGACTGTCCCATCCGTGAGTCTGTTCCAGAACTCCTCCTAAACAGTAAGAGTTTGGACCACAAAATCTGGTAGGCAGCTTCCTCTTACCATAACTTAAAACAAGGTCGGGTTTGGTTGTGCCAAAGCAATGGAATGTGCCTGGAATTCAATTGCTTCTCATCAATTGGAAAGGAGTAAGAGGGAGTTATACTGCAGAATAACCACAGGGGGCAGCAGTGGGCCAGAGATGGGAACAGGGACCGCTATCCAGCTGTTGGGCCAGCAAGGGGCGGGGGTGGAGAAAGGGACAGCAATCTGCTATATATTTCAGAGTTTGTCTGTCTGTCTGTCTCCTAGCTGGGGGACATGCACCCCTCCCCCAGCTATGCCAGCTGCAGCGGCCTTGGGGAGGTGCTTCTCACCTGTCCCAAGCTTCTGCGGTGAGAGAGGGCTGGGGTTGCCCTCTCTCCCTGGGGCAGCCCACCTACTGAACCCCCAAACAAACCTGGTTCAGTCTCTGAAGTTCATCTTCCATTGACTTCTTGCTGCTTTCCACCTCTGTCAGAAGAGACTAGGAGGAAGATTTTCACTTGATCAGGCATCATGTCTGACAGCGCACGGACTCAGATTAAAAAGCCACAAGGAAGCACTGCGATCCCCTAGTCCCATCTCCTGAGTAACACAGGCAATCGGACTTTCCTGGATTAATTCACTAGCAGCAGCCACGGACTTGCAGCTCTCCTCTACAGCAGCCATATTTTTCGATGCACTCCAGCTCTGCAACTGGCTTCTGGAGGAGCTGCAGCCAAGGCAGCTCACAAATGCGCCTTGCCGCCAGGATGCTTTCAACAACTGAGCTGCCAATATTTGGTTAGATCGGGGGCAGGGAGGGCAGGATTGCTAGGGGTTAGCATGAGATTTGAATGATTCGTGTTAGGAATATTTTAAAAGAGATTTATTTTCTTTCACAGTTTTCCACAGAAAACTAACTGCGCCCTTTTAGCACATTAAACTTTCGTTATAAGGAAAACACCAGAGAAAGGACAAAAATGGCGTTTCCATGACAGGCAGCATCATAGCTCTGCCTCCTCTGTAGCAATCTGTATTAAACCAAAGGCAAAACAGTGGCCGCCTCCGACAAAGCCTTAATAATGCAAAGGTGTAATACACACAGAAGACCTGCGTAATTGTCACACTGTTGCATCCACTGTATTTGAATACTGAAGCACTGAGTTATGGCGAAATGCTCGAGACAGAAAAACGCGCTCAAAAGACAAGCCTCACCTTCAGCCTTCGGACTTCCTGCCGCAGATCTGTCATTTCCAGCTGGAGCTGTTCTAGTTCCTCGCCGTCAGTACAGCCGACAGAGTCCAAAGTCTGGAACGCATTGGTGCACACGGTGAGTGAGTTCGGCTTTTCCCTCACCATAAGCATGAGGGGACAACGCAAGAACAGTTCCGACAGACCCCAACCAAAATGATTCCAAATCATTTTCAAAGACGGTTTGTGTTTTTACAAAACAAATCAAGTGTCACAATAAATAATCTACTTGTGGTTTTGTATTCCAAAACAATTCCGTCTCCCTGTCGCGAGACAGCTGGAACAATGGTTAATTCTCACTGCGTTACTGAAGTGACAATAGCTGGATTGGAGTCACCATGGCTAACTGTCCTTCTGTATCACCATCAAAATGACATAAGGGGGCCCCTGTAGGCAATGCAATAGCTAGAATGGCTTTACTATGGTATCTTTTCCTTTTGTATGACTAGAAAGTAGACATTAGCAGCTTCCTTCAAACGATTACACAGGTATTCTTTATTCATTAGCATGTGAAGTCAGGTCTTCTATGGGACATCCTTCAATCTTTCTGATTAAGGGATAAAATACTAGCCTATATTTCTCCTTTCTATAACTAAAGTATCAGTGAACAATGGCCTAATCTTTGCCTTCTCTGCCTTTTGGAGAAACACAGCACTGTCACTATCTTCTTCCACAGCTTACAGCTGTCATCCAGACCAAGAATCTAGGACACAGAGTTGCTTGATCCCAAATCCTTTCCCATTACAGCAACTCAAAGTAAGTCCCAGAAGGTCTTTGATCTGACCCCAGGCCTACACTAGGGGGCAAAGTCGACCTAAGATATGCAACTCCAGCTATGTTGTACCTTAGATCAAATTTCTATGGTGTCCCCACTGGGGAGGTCGACAGGAGAAACTCTCCGATTGACTTCCCCTATGCTTCACAACCCAGTGGAGTACCAGAGTCGACAGGGGATGTCATCAGCAGTCGATTTAGCAGGTCCTTACTAGACCCGTTAAATTGAACCCCAAAAGATCAATCTCCGCAGGGCCAATCTCCCGGTAAGTGGCCACAAGCCCTGCGAGGAACCTTCAAACTGAAGCAGGGTGCAATAGGCTAGGAAAAGAAGCAAGAAACAGTATTTGGCTAAGGCTGACCAGAGAGTGAAAAGCAGACGTATCCAATAAACTGGCCACTTCGTGTTGAGTGAAGAGCACAGAACTGGCCTCAAGGCCAGCCTCCTCCAGCTCATCTTGCAGCAGATCCCTGAGTGCTTGAAGAAAATCTATCAGGGAAAAAGAGAGAGTGGTGACAGCATGAGGAGAGAGTCTGGATCTGAGTTTCCACAGCCAGTTCATTCCACCGTTTATCCATGAGAAGAAGATACAATTCATTTCCATCGCTACTCACATTATAGTGAACCCCACCAGCTTCCACTGAGAAACGGCTCTCTCTCTCTACCCATACCTCTCTATGCTTAATGACACGTGAGTATGCAGTATGCCAGTTTGCTCTGCCAGCTTTCCAGAAGGCATTGCTTAGGATTAAAAAAACCAACCTAGCATTTTCCCCAGAGAAACTTCTTGGAAGCGCTGCCAAACTTCAGTGAAGAGACAAACCGTGGCACGGCCGAACCTAGGGGGCAGCCATTTCCTTCTGGCCCATGGAAAGGTTCGTCATTCTGTGTTTGCAGTTTCCTTTTGCCACTGGTGTCTCAAGCAGGCTGAAGGTTTGAGGAGACCAGGCCTGTGCTTTCTCTGCTACTCCCATCATTCATGGGTCTGTCAGAAGCCATTTTCCACGTGTGACTAGTTACTGAATAAACTGCATCTGAGTTAAAACCCATCTGGGCACCGAACCATCGGGGCAGAAGGGACCACAAGGGTCATATAGTCTAAATCCCTGCCAAGACGCAGGGGTTCTTGTGTCTGTTTCTTTACCCTAGCTGTCACCTCACGCATGGCACGTCTCACAACCCAGAGCAGTCAAGGGAGTTCTCTCAGGGATGAAATGCACTTTCTGTCTCAGACTGCACATAGCAGCACCCTGCTCACCTCCATAGGCCACTGTTCCCTGCGAATCTGTGGTCAGACTCTGCCGTAACTGCCTCTTCTTCTCCTCCGTCACATCCAGACCCAGATATTGCAGCACCTTTAAACAGAAGCAACAAGTCCTCAGAATCATCCCCGTGGAATGCAAGTCTTCTGGAAGGAGCTGGAGGGAGGGCATTTAGAGCTGGCTTTATCAGAGAGTTCATCATTATTCAGGCAATTCAGACGTTTCATGGAGCAGCTCGGGCCTAGGTCTCCATGTCACTTCATTACCTAGATTTGCAACCACGCTGCATCTCTAGGGTGTCCCCCCAAGGCTGTCAGCTTGGATTTCTTCCCATGCGTATTCCCTGCAGAGCGCGGGACAGAGCCACAGCTGGTGTAAACGGTCACCGATCCATCCCGACCTATGGCCAATTCCGCCAGCTGAGGTTATGCTCCTAGAAGTTCAGCTTCCTTTCGGGTCCCACTGACGCTCTCCCCCGTACCTCTCCAGAGTGAGTGTTCCGCGTGGTCAGTGCGCAAAAACAATACAAGTCTGACTGCTTTCGTTGGCAGTCACTGAAATAATCCTTCACGTGCCCTCCAAACCAAGAGCTCCATCGATCCCAGGCCGTGTAGAAGACACAAACATGAATTAATCTAACCTCACCACAGCCGCATCGAGGCAAAAAATCTGCGTTATTCCCGTTTGATCGAGGACAGGACCGAGGGGCACAGATTAGGTGACTAATGCATGGTCCCATTCTGCAGTGAGTCAGGGCCAGAGCCTACATTAGAAGCACACCATCAGGGGCGCGTTCACCCGCACAACTATTAATGTGATATAGGCCATCATGTGCCAGCCATGCCCCCTGCCATGTACGTTGGCCAAACCGAACTGTCTCTATGCAAAAGAATAAGTGGGCACAGAACAAGCATCAATAATGGTAACATACAAAAACCAGCAGCAGAGCATCTCAGTCTCCCTGGACACTCAGTAAGGGTATGTCTACATTAGCCCCCTAGTTCGAACTAGGGAGGCTAATGCAGGCATTCGAAGTTGCAAATGAAGCCCGGGATTTAAATATCCCGGGCTTTATTTGCATCTTCCCGTCCGGGCACCATTGTTAAATCCCCTAAGTCCGAACTAACTGCTACACGCGGCAGTCAAATGTTAATTCGAACTAAGTCCTTAGTTCGAGTTAACTGTTACACCATCTTTGTATCCATCTTTGTGTGGGTGTATATAGCCCTGCCAGACTGAAGTTTTCACTTCATGCACCTGACGAAGTGGGTTCCAGCCCATGGAAGCTAATGCCCAAATACATGTTAGTCTTCAAGGTGCGACAGGACTACTTGTTGTTTCTGCTGAAACAGACTAACACGGCTGCCCCTCAGAAACTTGTCCCAGCTTTGAAAGTGCAAGGCAAAGAATGTTAAGCAATTTATACAGGAAGCAACTTTGTGTTAAAACCCGAGACCAAAGAGGAAATACATTCCTGAATTCTAACCAAGAAGCACTGTGCCTTTCTAGATGAAAATTTTCTGCCCACATGCTATGTTCCTGATTTTCCTGAGATTCCAAACTCAAAAGGCAACCGCTTCATCCACCATAAGGTGGCAGCAAACTCTCACTTCTACACCCAGAAAAGTCATGTCTTGCCCAGGAAGATGTATCAGTTCTAGCAAGCACAACAGAACCAGATACAGCTGGTGTCTGGTATCTTTCTTGGGGTGTCTGGTATCTTTCTATACAGCATCTGACACATTGGAAGAGACATATCATAAGAACGGCCATATCGGGTCAGACCAATGGTCCATCCAGCCAACAGTGGACAATACCAAATGCCCCAGAGGGACAGAACACAAAAGGTAATCCTCACACGATCCTTCTCCTGTCATTCATTTACAGACAAACAGAGGCTACTCACTTCGAACCCACTTCGTCAGGTGCATGAAGTGGAAACTTCAGTCTGGCAGAAAATACAGTGCCGGTGGGTGGGGCTGTGCATATTTTGATATTTGATATAAAATAGTTGCGAATAAGGAACCCAAAGAATCTTAAATTAATTAGACTTCTCCACTCAGTTCCAGTCCCCATCCTTTGGTGAGGATTGGAATATTTTGTTTATCAAAACGCTTTAACTAAAACTTTTTAAAAGGGATCTAAATCCACATCCAGAACTTCAGGCCTTCAAGCACAATTTAAGATGTTATGTTAGGCCTAATTCTCACTTCAAGCTGGTCTACCTTGGAACTTACACTGGCCTAGCTACACCTCTCTGGGGTATGAAAAATTCACACCTAGCCTCCAGTGCAGCGAACACTGGGCTGATGGAAGAATTCTCCTGTAGACTTAGCTACTGCCTTTCGGAGCGGTGGAAGAACCCCGTCCTGTCAGCTTGGGTAGCGTCTACCCTGAAGTGCTACAGTAGCGCAACTGCAGTATTGCAGCGGTAGCAGCTTAAGTGTAAACACCCATTTTCACCACAGCCCACTTACGTCATTCTAGCAACACAAAGAGGCCTTGAAATGGGTGTAGGTTAGTGTAACTGGGAATTTAGACCAACACAATTTCAATGAGGCCAGGACTGGATCTATAGATAGTAAAGAGCCTTGTGGGCATCTTTTCTAAATCAAAAGCTCTCTATAGATGTATAATACTGGTGCTGACGATAACCTTCCTGTAGGAGGATTTGGGGGGCTCTCTGGACACAAAACCAAGCCAGGAGAATTCAAATGTGTGCAAGATTCTATTCCAAGCTTTCTCTACAGCTCTGACTTTTGGAGGAATGACACACACACTTCTTGACCACAGACCAACTAAACTCAGCCACGGAGCGACAGTTTGTGATTTTTTCACAAGTCTTGTCCTTATAGTTTGGTAGAAGCCTATTATCCCTGCAGCTCATTAATCAGATTAGGACTTGAACTTAATTGTACTGGATGTGCTCTGTGATCCTAATAGTGTAATCAATGTTTGGAGCGCTGTGTCTGTATTTCACATTACCTGACCTGTGTTTCACATGGCTATTAATAGCCCGATGTGCCCCGGTCAGGCACTGGATTAGAAAAAAAACAAGAAGGGGGGGGGGGGAATGTGATGGAGCAGACTGAATCCCAGCACTAGATGATGTAGGTGCAGATTAGATCATGTGACCCGATGCTATTGATTTATTCTATGCAAACAGGCAGGCACCAGATTCTCGCAGTAGGTTTGTCATTTTTTAATCTCTCCGGAAAGCAAGCGGCACACTGACCCCGATGCCTTTCACTGACACCGTCCTCAGGAGCCCAAACTCAATGTTTGTGCGGAAGAGTCGGGAAAGATTCAAGCTAAGAAACAAATATACTCGTAGTTCAACATATCATAGAATCAGAGACTCACAGGGTTGGAAGAGATCTCGGGAGTTATCATGTCCAACCCCCTGCTAAAAGAAGGACCAACCCCAACTAAAATCCCCCCAGCCAGGGCTTTGTCAAGCCGGGACTTAAACACCTTTAGGGATGGAGATTCCACCACCCCATTCCACTGGACCTTAGTGCAGACACAAAAGAACAGTCCAGTGCATTGATTTGAGAATGTACCATCACATTTAAAAACGAATGACATATTGCCAGATTAACTGACCAAAACCCCCGATGTTTCCTACCAAATGATGGCTCGAGCAAAGAGAGGAAACTACAGAACTACGTAAATAAGGCCATGCCCTATTTTGGATAAAACCCTGTAGCAATTGTTCTCCAACTTTTCCATCATGGGGCTCATTCTTCAAGATCGAGATCCTCTCGCTCGGTCCTACCAGTCCTGGTCCTTCACCCACCCTGCAGCTCCAAGAGTGCTCGTGTACTGACCCTCCCCAGGGATTCACTGTGTGCCCTCCAGAGCTAGAAACACAAGTCTCCTCCTCTTGAGCTACAGGAGAAAGTCCTCAGTGGGAACTGTAGCATGGATAAGACTGAGATAGACACTCATGCACCAAACAGCAGGGTGCTCTTGATTCCATGAACAAGCCATATGAAGACAACATGAAGATGGAAGTCAGCTCACAGAAATGTGACAAGAGGCACCAGAGGTCTGTGCACAGGCTCCTTTTGCTGAGTCAGCCAGCTGCTCACCCAGCAGCCAGATGTACACGCACTACCACCCCGTGGTAAGAATCGGTTCAATCTGCTGCGTGCACCACAACCTCCGCTTCTGAACACAGCACTCCCATCGACTGGGGAGCCAAAATCCCCCTTCCCATCTTCAAGAGGTACCCGCTCACATCCGGTGATCCAACAAAAAAGGGAGACACCCCTCCTCCCAGCAGGAACCAGTAAGGCACAGTTCTGGAGAGTGTGCAATTGCAAACAGTAACCTTTCTCCTTTCAATACAAGCATGATCTCTTTAAAGTGTGTTACGCTATTACCAATGCCAGCAGCTAGTGGGTTGGGGCTGCACTTCACAGAATAATCTATTACTTAGCCTTAGTGGTACCCATGGGATGCCATATTAAACTATACAATAAAATACCCTATCATAGAATCATCATAAAATACAAGAACTGGAAGACACCTTGAAAGGTCATCAAGGCAAGTCCCCTGCCCTCACAGCAGGGCAAACCACCATCTAGATCATCCCTGACAAATGTTCATCCAACCTGTTCTTAAATATCTCCAGAGATGGAGATTCCACAACCCCACTAGGCAATTTATTCCAGTGCTGAACCACCTTGACAGTTAGGAAGTTTTTCCTAATGTCCAACCTAAACCTCCTCCCTTGTTGCAATTTAAACCCATTGCTTCTTGTCCTATCAGCAGAGGCCAAGGAGAACAATTTCCCCCCCTCTTCCCTGTGACATCCTTTAGCTACCTGAAAACTGCTATCATGTCCCCTCTCAGTCTTGTCTTTTCTGAACTAAACAAGCCTAATTCCTTCAGCCCTTCCTCGTAGCTCATGTTTTCTAGACCTTTAATCATTCTTGTTGTTCTTCTCTTTTCTGGACCTTCTCCAATTTCTCCACATCTTTCCTGAAACGTGGTGCCCAGAACTGGACACAATACTCCAACCGAGGCCTAATCAGTGCAGAGTGGAGTAGAAGAATGGCTTCTGTGTCTTGCTCACAGCACACCTGTTAGTGCATCCCAGATGCATTCACAAGCGCAATGAAGTCTGTATCAAACCACTACCACTGGGATTTGGAGCTAAGCCTCTTGGCTCTTATTATTTGTACAAAGTAGCACTTCAGGGCCCTACTCCTGGACCAGGGTCTCAATCTGCCAGGTGCTGCACAAGGAAAGGACAAAAATGGAGTGCCGTTTTATCGCAATATTGTGGTAATGACAACGGCTCCAAATGTAGCATGCCAGGGTGACACTCCCACAAGACAATACAAGATGATTATTTTGCTCATAGCAGCTACGTGGAAAAAGGCAAAACCTGGTTTGTAAAATATAAACTAATCAGGTTTGTTTTCCTGTTTGGGGTTCAAACTTGACCAATTTTTCATTTTAATAAGGTTTCTGAGGACCTTCCCTCCCAATTTCCATTTCTGTTAAATGACAAGAAAAGAAAACAGGATTTCGGCCATGTATGAAAGCCAGCAAGGGAAAAACAAATATGCTATTTTGTTTTTATTTCTGATTTAGTTAAAAAATGAACTATTTCTTAAAATATCAAAAAAGGCTAGTTTAGAATGATAAACTTTTGCTTTGAAGCATTTTGCTCATCTCTAGCTTTCAGACCAGGAGCGAGTCTTCCCCCTGCATCCTGATTGGCTGCCCATAAGATGGGCAGACACAGAAAGTGTTTTCTTTTGCTGCTCTATTTTGTGTTTAGGTTTTCCTCTGGCCTTCAACATTTGTTGACCCATTATTTCCAAAGGCAACTCACCTATCCCTGCAGAGAAGCAGCTGTCTCCAAGCAGGACATTGGTGCTGCTCTGTTCACAGGGAATGCTGAATCAGATGGTGGCCAACAAAACAATCTGAGGCAGAGAACCATGAGTAAAGCCCTTTTGGAGCTAGAGAGCAGGTTTCAATCCCTGAGCCTGCCACAGGAGCTTAATATCAGGGGTGATCTCAGACAGTCACAGTATGGAACACATCTTAATATGTAACCCAGAGGCTGGCAAAATATGGCCCATGGGTCAGATCCAGCATACAGGAGCCTCAGCTAGACACCGCCCCAATGCAGCTGAACGCTATGAACCTAGGGGGAGAGGTAGATACCTTGAAGGGTAGGTATAGGGTGGCCGAAAACCAGCCAATGGGAGCTGCTTGTTTGCAGGACAAGTACCTCTCTCACTCAGGGCTCACGGAGTTGCCCAGCTAAGCATCTCCCGGCAAAAGCTTGCCTATGGCACCCCAGGCCCTCCCTTCTCCCAACCCTCTGACCCCCCCTTCTGCACCCCTGCCCCACATAACCCAAACCTTCTGCATCTCTGCTTCTGTACCCACCCACCCCCCTCATACCCTGCATCCCAATCCCCAGCCCCCCAGTCACATTCCAAATTCCTGCATCCTTTCCTGCACCTCTGCACCAGGTCACAACCCCCTCCCAGACCTTGCACCCCAATCCCCTACCCCCAGTCACAACCCACATCCCTGATCGCACTCCTGAACTCCTGCCCCAGGTCACAACCCGCTCCCAGACCCTGCACCTCCTCCTACACTCCTCTCCCAGGTCAGAATCCTCTTCTGCACCCAAACTCCTTTCTGGACACGACACCCCCTCTTACACTCCAGTACTCTGCTCCAGGTTACAACCCCCTCCTTCACCCAAACTCCCTCCCAGATCCCACACCTCTCCTGCACCCCAGTCCTTTACCCCAGGCTCCCTTCTGCACCCAACCTCTGTCCCAAACCCCGCACTCCATCCATTAATATGGAAGAGTGCGGCCCTCAACCACTTACCAAATTCTTGGAATGCCCCCCCATCAAAAATGACTGCTCACCCCTCACCTGATTTCCCCTTCCATTTTCCACCCCCTGCCCTCCCTCCTGCATGGTCTGTCTTCTCCTAACCATCCTCAATTACAGCAATTTCTTTCATGGAAAAGCAATATAAGAGACGTGCTTATGTAGTCTGAGCTTCCTTTAACGCGAAGTAGCCGGCTCTGTCCAATCAGAGTGGGAGCCTCTCTATCATTTTACTGAGCACAAAGATCACAATTTCAAGGCAGGAAGCCTTTCAGCTTACCAGTTCGAATTTCCCATCCTTGAGTCGAATATGGGGATCCAGGGCTACTTTCGGTTTGCTGCCCGGCGCCGCTCTCTGATTAGAAGGTGACACGGGCGCTGAATAACATTAAGCAGTCGTTAGTGGAACAGTATGGGGGAGGGGAGGAGATACACTGACAAGAAGCATCCCAACCTAAGTTCAGGCCTAAGTACGCTGCAAACAGACAGGGGTCAGGATTTTCGGCGGACGGGCTCTCCGAAAATCAGGCTGCTATAAAAAGTCTCCATTTGGGCATCACAAATGAAGACGACTAAAATGACAAGACACTTCTGACAAGCTTGGCCAAAGATTATATCTGAGGCCTAGGGCTCTGAAGTTTGGAGATATGGATCCAATCCAGTCTGTTCAATGTATGCTTCAGTTTAAAAAGTCACCGCTGGCCCTATCACCTGGGAGTTCTAACCCAGCTTCAAAGCAGTGTTTCTAGGAGCGCTAGATTGAGTCTGGGCTCGGAGAAGTCTGGTTCCCAGCTCCCATGAAAGAGAGAATTCCCAGGTTAAAACCCCACAAGAAGACGTGCTGCAGGATTTCTCCCTGAACTGCTGCTATGAAAAGCGCCTGCTCCCTTTCACTCGGGGGCGGGGGAGGGGCAGGCTGCGTTGTCCCGTCAGGGTGCATGTTTAAGGTGAGCCACATGCGCACAGTGGAAAAGGCAGGAGGGTGCTTGTGCCCACAGCAATAGGAATGACATTGTGAGAAGGGACGCGGCAGAGGGCCTCTGACTGAGGCTCTGGGAGAGACCCAGCCAATGACAGTCTGCTCTTCATTGCTAGTGGCATTTCCAAAAGTACCCAAATGACTCAGGAACACAAGTCCCATTCAATGGGAGCTGGGCTTGGGAAAATCCCACAATCCTGCAGCGCTGCCCCCCCATCTCCCTACACTGGCCGCTCCAGGGAAGGATTGCAGAAACTGCTGCTCATTTATGGGGAGGCCCAGATGGACTCTCAAAATGTGAAACGCCGCCACTTCTCTAAAGACCCTGCTAATGATGCTCTTTGACTCTTATAACAAAAGGGGCTTATAAAACCTGATCCTGTTCACATCAGTCAGTGACAAAATCCCCACAGACTTCATGGTGTCCACGGGAAAGCGTTCATGGGCTTTTTTTTTTCATCTTTGCACTGCCTGGAAAGTGGGGTACAGGTGAACTAAACATCCGTGTGATGGAATGTTTGCCCCGCACTGGAGCGTAAAGGGTTAAAACAGACCTGGGGGGGGGGCTGATCCCAGGAGCCAATTGGGAGACGACTTTTGGCAGCCAATCAGAGCCCAGCAGGTTTGTATAAAGAGATGGCTGGCCAGGCTGAGCTCACTTTTGCTCCGGTTCCGGCGGGAGAAGGGCCTTGCTGCCTGCTAGCAGTGGTGCCTTGGACAGAGCAGTGCTGGGGGAAGGCAGGGTGAGCCAGAGGAGTTCAGCCCGGACTAAACCCCAGGTCCAGCAACAGGGGCCCAGGGAGGTTCAAGGCTGCAGAGAAGCAGTCAGGGCAGGAGAAGGCAGCAGGGGCAGGAGAAGGCACGACCTACTATGAGCTGATACCCAGATCACCTTAAAGAAACTTTCTGCCATTCTGAATCAGGGATGGGATTTTCCAAAGCACCTAAGGGATTTAGGAGCACAAGCCCTGTTGAAGAATCAGTGAGACTCACGCTCACTCAGGCAGTTTTGAAAAACCGCCATCCAGTGGGACTGTTAGGCGAGGAGAAAATTTTATGAAACACAGGGACAAAGCAGCAGAGGTGCAGCCACACGCCTAATCCTCCTAATCCTGATATTCGTCTGTCCCACTAATGCCAGCAGCTGGGAAGCAGGGCCTGAGGTAATAAACCGAGTTCACTGGATTGGTCACCCAGCCCCATGCTGTGCAGGTTCAAGGGCAGATCGTTGCCCTTCAACTCCACGCTAATCGGGATTAGCTCCATGCGGCTTTGCTCGTAAACTCTCCACAGCACTCAGATATCCCGGGTGGCCCTGAAGGGCACCCGACACCGGCGAACAATCGACAGGCCCCAGCAACTTGTTCAGATTTCAGACTCAATTCCTGTCCCCCCAAAAGGACGTGATTTATCCTGATTCAGACTATTTCTCGATATCATCCATTCAAAGCATCATGCTAATTAAGGCCACATTTCCCAAGGAACTTTACTCCATACGAATCATAGAACACTAGAACTGGAAGGGACCTCAAGAGATCATCAAGTCCAGTCCCCTACCCTCACGGCAGGACCAAGCACCATCTAAATCATCCCTGACAGATGTCTGTCTAACCTGCTTTTAAATATCTCCAGTGATGGAGAATCCACAACCCCCCTACGCAATTTATTCCAGTGTTTCACCACCCTGCCCATTAGGATTTTTTTCCTAATGTCCAACCTAAACCTCCCTTGCTGCAGTTTAAGCCCATTGCTTCTTGTTCTATCATCAGAGGCCAAGGAGAACCATTTTTACTCCCTCCTCCTTGAGACACCCTTTTAGATACTTGAAAACTGCTATCATGTCCCCTCTCTGTCTTCTCCTTTCCAAACGAAACAAGCCCAGTTCTTTCAGTCTTCCCTCATAGCTCATGTTCTCTAGACCTTTCATCATTTTTGTTGCTCTTCTCTGGACCTTCTCCAATTTTTCCACATCTTTCTAGACACGTGCTGCCCAGAAACGGACACAATTCTCCAATCCAGGCCTAATCAGCGCAGAGTAGAGCGGAAGAATGACTTCTTGTGTCTTCCTCACAACTCTCCTGCTAATGCATCCCGGAAGCATGTTTGCGCTTTTTTTTTTCCCCCAGCAGTGTCACCCTGTTGACTCTCATTTAGCTTGTGGTCCACTACAACCTCTAGATCCCTTTCTGCAGTCCTCCTTCCTAGACAGTCGCTTCCCATTCTGTATGGCTGTGTCTACACTGGGCCACTTATTCCGGAAAAGCAGCCGCTTTTCTGGAATAACTTGCCAGCTGTTTACACTGGCCGCTTGCTTTTCTGGAAAAGCAATGACGATCTACTGTAAAATTGTCAGTGTTTTTCCGGAAAAACTATGCTGCTCCCATTCGGGCAAAAGTCCTTTTCCGGAAAAACTGTTCCGGAAAAGGGCCAGTGTAGACAGCACAGTAGTCTTTTCCGCAAAAAAAGCCCCTATCGCGAAAATGACGATCGGGGCTTTTTTGCGGAAAAGCGCATCTACATTGGCCACGAATGCTTTTCCAGAAAAAGTGCTTTTCCGGAAAAGCATCCTGCCAATGTAGATGCACTTTTTCCGGAAATACTTAAACGGAAAACTGTTTCGTTTTAAGCATTTCCGGAAAAGGGTGCCAGTGTAGACGTAGCCTAGGTGTGAAACGGACTGTTCCTTCCTAAGTGGAGTGCTTTGCATTTGTCCTTATTAAACTTCATCCTATTTACCTTACACCATTTCTCTAGTTTGTCCAGATCATTTTGAATTATGACCCTGTCCTCCAAATGTCTGTCTTAAAATAGCTTTGGGTACTGCAGAGTAGTTCAGCATTCATTCTATTGTGAAGACAAAGAAATGGACGAGGACAGGCAATATGGCAGATAAAGCATTTACTCCTTAGGGGAGGAGAACCAGGAGCCCATCTGGTCCGATGTGCTCCTGTGGATATTATTATCTTTGTCTGCCTTTTCTTATTCATCAAATATAAACATCTCTAAGAGAGTATAATGTAGGGTTTCAAAAGAAGAAAAAGTTAACTGAGTTGGGAGTGTATTATTTAAGCCACAGATGCCTCAGGATAAGCCAGAAGCCTGTTTCCTCTCTCTCAAAACTTTCTACATCTTCAGCTAATGCACAATCTCTGCTGGAGACAACAGATCATGTGCGTTTTAGCATGAACCTGAAACAAACACAAAGCATCACGCTGGCTGGGGCTGGCAAATGCACATTGGCAAACCCCAACTTGCATGCATGCCTTGGGTTATTGGTGTGCTTCAGTTGAGTTTGCTGATTTTTGCGCTTTCTTGAAAATTGCCCTCAAGAGTTCAATGTGCAGAGAGATAGAGCCAGAACGATACAGTGGGATCTTAAGAAGAGCCAGTCCAAACATAAACGATGTGGGTGCGTGTGCACCAAAACCGTGTTGGTTTTGTGTCTGCAAAAATTTTTTCCACTGACATTTTTCAAAATTGGAAATGTTTCCAACCAGCTCTTCTCTCAAGTAGTAAGTCTCAAGCTCATGGTGCATCTTCCAGAAGAGAGTCTTCCAAAGAAAAAAAAATCATGTAAAAGCAAGAGGTATATAATGGCCTGCAAGCACAGAGGAAAATATCATTTGAAAGTTTAGTGTCTTCCGACAAGTGAACTTCAGATCCTGAGACAATTATGACAGACTTACATAGTCCCCGGAGCTATTAGTCTATCCCATACATTAAAATTACCACTTTGTGGATAGTTGGAGGCAGCTAATTTGGCTTAATGACTGTAGAATCAAGTTCCTGTGCACTGAGAGCAACACTGATTTATCTATTTGTTTAACAGCAATTCAGTTTTCAAGAGCTTTCCGCTACATCTACACAGCAGCGCTATTTCAGGATACTGGAGGCATCCCAAAATAGCTATTCTGTTTCTTTTGAGCATGCCCATTATTTCAAAATATAATGGGCTCGCTATTCCGACGACCGTGTAAACCTCATTCCACGAGGAGTAAAGGACGTTTTGGAATAGTGATTTATTTCGAAATAAGTGCTTTGTAGGCAAAATAAGCCGTTTTGAAATTGACTCAAAATCAGCTACGTCATTTGCGTAGCTCTAAGGCTACGTCTACACTGGCCCCTTTTCCGAAAGGGGCATGCTAATTTCACAGGTCGTAATAGGGAAATCCGCGGGGGATTTAAATATCCCCCGCGGCATTTAAATTAAAAAAAAAAAGCCGGAAAAGAGCGTCTACACTGGCCCCGATCCTCCGGAAAAAAGCCCTTTTCCAGAGGATCTCTTATTCCTACTTCAATATCCCCCGCGGATTTCCCTATTACGACCTGTGAAATTAGCATGCCCCTTTCGGAAAAGGGGCCAGTTTAGACGAGCCCCACTGGTGTAGCTTATTCCAAGCTATGGATGCAGTATAGACGCACCTCTTCAGTCCCACCAGCAAGGCTGCCAATTAATGCTAATTGTGGTAAGGGTTTCCGGCCACTGGACTGATCCCAAAACCTCATTTCACATGGCCTTTGGATAACAGCAGTGATGCTCCACCACTACCACCCCAATACAGAACCAGTGACCTAGACACCCAGTCACCCCTGCAAAGACCTCTGCTCCAACAGACAAGCTAAGATGGGTGTATCTAATGCTTACTGAAGAGAGCCCTTCATTAACTGCACCACTACCTATAACCAATCCTAATGGACTGAGACCTGTCATTAGACTATTAATCTTCACCTCCACTGCTGTCGGTACTTAAAGTTTCATTTCACTACCTCTAATATTGAGGAGCTCTGGTCTAGATACTTTGGCCACTTACACAAACAAGAGTCAGCATCCTTCTTACCAGATATCGTGAGTTCTGGGGGGCAAATGTCCGGTGATGGAGAAGGCACAGGAAAGAGATTTTCTTGTCTGGTCTAAAAAAACAAAAAAAAATAGCACAGAGGACAGAATGCACAGCCCACTCTGCCAGTGGGAGTGAAAAGCAAAGGAAGAGGGAGGAAATAGGGAGAGACAGTCCCACATGCTCCCTAAGGAATCAGACTGTACCACTTCTTGCGTGAACACCACGTGAACCTACTAGGCTAGAGACAGCACGAACAATGGTGATGGACCCAACAAGAGTTCTGGTTTGGAGTCAAAGGGGGGTTGTCTCTGTGACAGTTCCGGAGGCGCTGATCCTCCAAAGGTTCTGTGTGCCTGTCGCCCACGCTCATTACCGTGGGAACTGAGAAGCTCCTGGCTGACTGCACTCACCAGAGGCTGAGCTGAAGTAACTTTAGTGAGAGCAATGGAATCACACCAAGAATGGCCTAGTGTGTTTTAGCAACAGCGGCTGGTTTTAAACCTTACGTATCCAAGCCACCCATGAATTTGCAGGCAGTTTGGATTATCTGAAGGGCACCTGTAGCATTACCCAATGGACGGAGAGCAGAGCTATCCATAAGAACATGCTGGGCTCAAATGCAGCAGGGACTCTCCTACTGGGGTTAGGTCTGTAATGGGAGAGGGCTCCCAGCTGGATGGCATGTGAACAGGAGAAGGGGGTATGGTATGATGGGAAAGGCTGAGAACCGCTGAAATACAACACAACCAACGCTAGGAGGTTACACCCCAGTACTGATGGGGCTGAATTTGATGGTTATGGGCAGATATTCACTCATTGATTGTCATCAAAAAATTTTTTCACTTTTGACTTCTGGAGATGAAAACGCAGTTCAGAGATCTTCAAACACGTCACTTCGATTGATCGATCCTTGGTCAGAGCAAACAGAGCCACAGGAGTCCACTCTGCTGACTTTCCAAACAGCTAATCTGGAAAGATTATCACAGAGTCCCTAAAAACAGGAAACTGATAGGAGATGGAAATTATGGGATTGGCCTCTGTGATCTTATCCAGAACTTCAACATACCTCAGGCGACCTCACGTGGACTTTCAACCGGCAAGAGCTCAGACCATTGCCCATGGCCTTAGGAGGTGGCGACTGGATGCTGTTATGAGCCGACAGTCCCGGATGTAACCGTCCCCTTCCGGGAATAAAGGCCACTTCTGTGTTTCCCTCATGTCTGAAAAGAACCATGTTTTGTTAGTGTTTAAAAACGACAGGTTTAAGGTTTCAGAACGTCCATGAGAATGGCTCTGGGGTCTTTCCTTTGAGCTAAGCTTGTTAATTGCCCGTGTAACGGGCAACAACAGTAGAGCTGTGTGAATCAGAGAGGATTCTTATGAGGTCTCGAGTACTGCTGCAGATCTTGGGGAAGGTGTGTGATGGAACATGCTCATTGCAGAACAGAGACTGGCAGGTTGGGAAGGTCTCCTGCTATTTCTAAGTATGATGTAAGCTGTGCCGTGCACTCAAAACTACCGATACTGGAGACCTTCACACCTCAGGAAGTTCTTCTTGCACCTTAAGCTTAGAACAATGTGCAGGTCTGCTACATCACACGCTGCAGTTATCACAAGTTATTGGTTTTGTTGACAACAATGAGAAATGCATTTGGCACCCGAGGAATGTATTCTGGGCAGCTGGTGCGTGCCTACCTGAATTTGGTTTTTGCAAGTACTTTTCTGGCCTCTTCATAGGTGCAGCCCACCAACGAGTCTTTATTGATGGCAATTAGCTGATCACCGGGCCGAAGCCGCCCATCCTAAACAATAAAGGAGACATTTGTGTAGCATACAGCTTTATCCACAAGGACTAGGTGCATCAAAAAAGAACGACACTTTGCTCGAAGTATTCTCCTGCAATATACACCCTTGTTCCCCCACACCGGTTCTGAAGTGTCCAACCAGTTGTGAAGCAGTAGCCACTATGGCTATTTGGCCGGTTGAGTTGGACACCATGGCCCTAGACCATTGACCCATCCCCAGGAGAGCTCCTTCAGAACAGCTGGCACTTTCAGGAAAGGCTCCAGTTTCATAGCTCCCAGAATCGCCCCCTGCTCTTGACTTACTCTGTAACAGTCCCCTTCCGGCATCAGCTCGTGAACGTAAATCATGGGCCCCTCAGGCCTGTTAGATCCGCCACTGATCGTCAACCCCAACCCAGAGGACTTTGCTATGGAGATGCACTGAATCGCTGGCTCAAGGGAGCAGCTGCAAAGGAACAGACGTGTTAGCAGAAGACACAGCCGCGGTCTGTTTTATGCTACAGACCCGTCGGGTACACCTGTCATTACGCAGAACTGTTCTAGCAAGTCCACACCAGTGCTGAATGAAAAGGGCTATCTTTGGTTTGGTTCCTGAGTCTGCAATCTCCCTCTCCTTTCCCAACCTCTTCTCCTCCACTCCTCTCTCCCCGAAAGTGGGAGCAAGGAAAAACACTTATCAAAACCATTCGGAACCTCACGACTCCGTTTGATTTGAGTTCAGGACTAGCAACGGGTAAAGCTTCAGGGGCATGTAGGTGGGGGAGGGCAGTTGATTCTGATGAGGATAAATGCTGTTCCTGTTATCATTGTTATTTACTTGTATTATGGTGGTTCTTAAGATCCCCAATTGAGAATTGGGGCACACTGTGATCAGCACTGTACAGACAAGTAATAAAGAAGTGAGTCCCCTATGCCAAAGAGCTCACAAGCAGCACGCCTTTTTCCTAGTACAGACAAGACCTACAACAGACCTTTTAAAAGGGCCTGATTTTTAGAAAGTGGGAGCTCTGCATTTTTAAAAAATATCAGGGCCTTTCAGGTGTTCCAAGCTGTGACCCCAAAAATCTCTAGACTCCTTTGAGAGAGAAGGTGGGTGAGGTAATATATTTTAATGGAACCACGGCTGTGGGTGAGAGAGACAAGCTTTCGAAACACACAGAGCTCTTCTTCAGGTCTGCGTAGCTCAAAATGTGTCTCTCCTACCAACGAAAGTTCATCCAGTAAAACATATTACCTCACCTACCTGGTACCAACATGACTACAGCAGCACTGCGTAGATCAGACACTTGTTTAGCCATAGTGCCAAATGCAATGGGATCCTCTGAGGGTAGATAAGCACTATTACAATACGAAGAACGTTCTAGAAACAGAGACAAGCCTGAAGACTCTTAGGAGTTGATGCCTGGTTTTCCTGTGCCAGTCATATTTTTGAAAGTTTGACATTTTTTTACCCTCCACAAGTGTGACAAAAAGTCAAAATCTCAATAAAGATCATGAATCTAAGTACCAAATGTTTTTGGCTCAGATCAGTTGGAACATGCAATTTAAATAAAATTTCAAAATGCTTCATTTGGACGTCTAACTTTAAAAAAACCTTTCTAAATCTAAATTGCTTACATTTCACATTGAAAAGTCATTTTGAACTGGGAAAAAGAATTTTCCATTTAGAGAGCAGTGAGACAAAACATACCGTTCCAGAGTTTTCTAACATGCTTTTCCAGCATTGTGAGATTTGTTGGGTTTTGTTGATGCCAAATCTCTTTTTGCTGAAAAATTCTGATTTGTTGAAAAATTCCGAAGGTGCTCTAGTTCTGAGTAATATGGTACGTACTGTGAGCTTGTGTGCGGGGAATGTGCCGAGTTTCCAATGAGCGGGCCATGGGAATTTGCAGGGCTCAGCAGCAGAGGACTCTGGGAACGTGATGAAGAACCCGAGGATGTACTTTCCAAATATCTACCTGAAGAATAAAAGAAGAGTCAGTCCAGAGAATGAAAGCCTTTCTCCCTGCCCACATGTCCCTGCTACACAGTTAAAAAGTAAATCAATGTTCATGGTTCTTTACCTGGAGAAAATACCTACCGCTGATGTTAATGATATTTCTAAATTAATTATCAAAGTTTTACCCTCTCACCACAAATTCCATTGAACAACAACCACCACCACCTTACAGTGTCACATGCGTCTTCCCAAAAAGCAGCAGCAAGACCATCCAGTGACCAGACCACTAAACTAGTGGCCAGGAGCGCTGGGTTCTAGTCCTACCTTGGCCACTGACTTGCTGTTCTGGTCACTGGATTGAGCAAGCCACTTGGCTGCTCTTGCCTCAGTTCCACCATGTTTAACAGTGGTACTCATCCCTCTGGGTAGACCACTTTGACTCCACTGTTGGAAACTGCTTTAGAAGAACTAGACATTAATGTAAGTTACTAGCCCAGTATTTTCCTGAGTTGTTGCACACTGAAGTGGAGTTAAGGGAGCTGGAGAAGTGTTAGATGCCAACTAACCCTCTTGTTCCACTGCAAGGAAGTTGTCATTCTCTATCCGGTTTTAATTTCTCTTACATAAGAACGACCAAGACCAAAGGTCCATCTAGCCCAGTATCCTGTCTGCCAACAGTGGCCAATACCAGATCCCCCAGAGAGAGGCAACACAACAGGTAATCATCATGTCATCCCTCTCCTGTCATCCATTTCCAGACAATCTGAGGTAAAGGACACCATTCCTACCCATCGTGGGTAATAGACACTGATGGACCTAATCTCCATGAATCTATCTAGCTCTTTTTTGAACCCTGTTAAAATCCTAGTCTTTGCAATATCCTCTGACAAGGAGTTCCACAGGTTGACTGTGCACCGAGTGAAGAAAAACTTCCTTTTGTTTTAAACCTGCCGCCTATTCATTTCATTTGGTGACCCTTTGTTCTTATATTGTGGGAATACGTAAATAACTTTTCCTTATTTACTTTTTCCATCCATGACATTTTATAGACCTCTCTCATATCCCCCCTCAGTCTCCTCCTTTCTAAGCTGAAAATTCCAAGTCTTTTTAGTTTCTCTTCATATGGAACCCGTTCCAAACCCCTTTTCTAATGCCAATATATCTTTTTTGAGATGAGGCAGCCACATCTGTATGCAGCATTCAAGATGTGGGCATGCCAGGGTATCTTATTTAGTATCCATGACTCAGTGGATATTTTCTGCACTGCGCCCCTTAGCACCAAGATGCAGGTCAGTATTCAGCGCCCAGAGGGTCAATACTCACTCCCACCATAATGAACAGGAGAACTCCGTGCCGATTCTGTGTTGCTATGAGATCCAAACTTTTCCAGCAGCTCAGAAAACTCTCTCCTGAAAGACAAGGCACAGCAGAGTTCCTTCATTTTTCAATGCACTTCTGCATGGATTTACAATGCAAACAATGTTGACTCTGTGCTAACCCATTTAGCATCTTAATTCTCATCTGTGCTGAGATGAGGCTTTGGGGAGTCAGACACAACTCCTTGATTCTCACAGGTAGTCTCAAGGTAAGATCCCTGCCTAGTTGCATGGAGGGATCAAACCCACCACCCTGTGCTCCAGAGACTGTTGCCCCTTAGTCAACTCACAAATCAACACCATCTCCATACCTTTCAGGAGATCACTTAGCCTGTGGTAGCTACTCTCAGGATGGGTAAAGGTGGGAGGTGAACTCAAACCCACCACCCTGTGCTCTATAGGCAAATGCCCTCACTCCTAAGCCACTCCAGCTCCCTACCATCAGGTGCTCCTCTATTCTGCCTTCCTAATATGGGAGCCAGGTCCATCCCTGGAGCCACCCTGTTGGCTGCCCAGCTACTTCCTGGGTGGGCTGGGATTAAGCCTGCCACCCTGTGCTCTAGTGAAAACCGTTTCCAAGCTTGTGCCAGGGACCGAAGCTCTATAATAGCCCCCACCAGCAAAAGATTCTTGTGACCAAGCAGATTTTTGCATCCCCTCCTGCCCCTGGGGGGCTTGGAGGCAGAGGCTGGATGCAGTGCAGAAGGGAATTATCTGCTTAGCTTTTGTAGCTGAATTATGGCCCCTTTGTTCCACTCTTCTATGCCCCTTTTCCTCCCACGGACTCCAAGCACTTCATCAACATTAATTAAGGCGCTCAGGTATAACAGGGATGGGTAAATCAAAGCACCAAGTAGTTAAGGAATTTGTCTATTGTGGGGGAAGAGGCAAGAATGCAGATGTCCCAACACCCAGCCCTGGGTTTCTACTACTGGATCAAAATGCCTCTTGTGGATTAGCCCAGACTAATTTCATCTCCAGCTGGGAACCTAATGTGACACACAAGTTGAATATGGACAATTAGGGGGATCTGTAACTAAGCAAAAATACACGTTGGCCATTTGTGTATCTTGTCATAATAGTCAAAGAAATGCAAATAACTGACAAATCTGCCACCACAGATCGTGAAATCATCATTCTTAGAGCTCTGGTTATATTGCATGTTTTTAAACCACCCCCCTGTGACTACCCCTCTGTAATTCATGCATGGAGAGGAGGAAGGGTGAAATCAAGAATTTAAATTAAGGCAGGAGTGGCCAACCCACGGTTCGCAAGGTGAATGCGGCTCTTCACCCCTGAAAGTGCAGCACGCGAAGGTGCCCCAGTGCCCCTACAAACAGCCCCCAGCTCCCTGTGCTCACCAGGTGCAGGGGAACCATCCGACACTGATGTGGCCAAAAAGCCTAACCTCTCATTTTTTTGCTCAACAATTCTGGTGTGGCTCTTCGCATTTTTTCTGCCGCTGTTTCGGCTCTCTTCATTGAATGGGTTGGTCACCCCGAATTAAGGCTACGTCTACAGTGCAATGCTACTTCAGGATAGCGCAGTATCTGAAATAGCTATCCCGTGTCTTCACAGCAAGCCTGTTATTTCGGGCTCACTATTCTGGTGTCCTTGTAAACTTCATTCCATGAGGAGTAAGGACATTTCGGAATAGTGGGTTACTTCGAAATTTGGCGCTGTGAAGACAGCACCAAATTATGAAATAAGCGATTATGAAATATGATCCAAGTAAGATACGCAATTTGCATAGCTCAAATTGCATAGCTTATTTCAAACTACAGTGCAGCATAAAGGTAGCCTAAGAGAGCAAGTTCTGAGCACGATACAGACAAGTGGGCAACATTTAGGGATTGTAGGCAGCAGGGATGTTAAAAAAGTGGGGGGCGGGGTTGTAAATGTGTAACTGCTGAAATTTTGAGTGGTGACACATTTACACGTAGGAGCAGTGTGCACGAGAAGCTAAGCACCAGCTCCCGCAAAGCCACTTCCCTCCTCCCCATGCTACCACCTGTGTATCAGCAGCCAGCTCCCCATGAGCACCGGCTCCTGTCTGTTCCCCCTACCCAGCTGCCTCAAACAGGCCCAGGCTCATTGGTTAACTGTTTAAAAAAATACACCATCACATTCCTAGAAGACCGGACATTAGGATATTAGAGGCCGAAGTGCTACCAAGTGGAGGTACGCCATTCACCTTCAAGCCCCAAGTTGCTCACCTGCCAATGATAATAAACGTAGTAAATCTTATTTATTATGCTCACATGGCACACAGACAGAGAAGTGAAATAAACAACATAAGAAGTTCTTGATAGAAGGCTGCAGTTTAACTACTTAATTTTTTTAGAACTCAGAAGGACACTCCAAAACCAGAGAGACACAAAGCAGGCTGCTCCCTGAAAAAGAGAGATCCAACCCACCTCATCTTATTCTAGACTGTCTGGTTGCACACTTCCCTACAGAGCCTCATGGCGTAAACACAGGACAAGGATCCTGCTTTCAAGGGATAGTTTGCAAGTCCAACACAGTCTTCCAAATGCCACATCATTCCACATCAGAAAATATTCAATATTCTTAAAATGCTCCTGCTGCTGTTGGCCTGCTACCACCTTCTATTTTGCTGCCAAAATCTCCTGTTTTGGATCAGTAGGCAAAGAGGCCAATGCAACAGGGGGGGGAAACCAGAACCTATTCCACAGCTGGCACGAAGATTGATAATTTTTAAACAAGTGGATCAGAGACGGGGAAAAGAGGTGAAGTGAAGCACAAAAGAGGAAGAAAGATAAAGCAAATCTGAGGTAACCTGGACCCAAATATCTCCATACTTCAGAGGAGTTCCAGCTCAGATCTGGATTCCACTTTGGGGTTTACACCCACGTCTAGAGAAGATAAACGTGGACCATGGTACAAGAAAAGAGCAGGCCTCTGTTATTCTCCTTTCCTCCTTGCCCTTTTCTCTGCCTATGGTGTTCCTGTAGCCTGAACAGCTCAGGCAGGAGTCTCTTGGTGAACACTAGTACTTACGTGGCTGCGGAGGTGGGACAGGCCTAGAAACTTGCCATCGAGTAATGCTGCATTCCCATCCTCACTGGAGGCTCTGCTATGCGGCCAGGGGAGGACCATAGGACCTTCCGAGTCCACCTGTATGTCTAGAGCAATTGTTACAGAACACCTGGATGCTCTGGCCATACTCCTGGTTAAGCACTGGCCTGAAAACTGAGATACCAAGCCAAGGTAAGTAGGGCTCTCCACGAGGCCATGGGGTCAATCCCACAGAGGTGACCAGTGCACACGTCAAGGCAGGTCGATGGGAAAGTTACATGGCAACTGATGAGAAAACATTGCCTCAGGCGGTGGCTCTGACCACGCAGCCGCTATCCGAGCCAGCATCAATTTCCATCAACTCTATTGCTTCAAATCTCACTTTAATATCATTTCCAGTAAAACCCTTCATCTTTTCCGAGGCTCGCGCGTAATCCCATATCACTGCTGAGTTATGCGGCGGCGAAAGCGAGGCTGCCGCTGACTCTGTGCCTTCCCTTCGTGGTCTCCTCCTTCCTTTGGGCAGGACTCTTCATGCAGCCGTGAGAGCTCTCCTTGCTGCCTTGACAAACAATCCCACGACATACCCAAATTACTCAGGCAGCTAGCTTATGCTAAGCCCATATTACCGCGTCTCGCCGGCTCCTGTCCCTACCCTGGCTAGGTCAGAGCTAGCATGAGTATGCCTCCCCACACTCCAGTTAGACCTTGCTCTGCTGCATAGATGTGCCCCAGCATCTCTCCAATCCCAGGCCTAACTCACAGCCTCGTGCAGCTAGAGCTGTAGGTTTCCTGGGAGTTGGGTGGTTGCATGTAAAGTGCTCCCCTTCTGAACTATCACAACCTAAGCAGTAGCGTGGCGGTCACGGAGGAGCAGGTCCTGTGAGTAGACCAGGCCCAGCACCGAGTGTCAGAGCAAGTAGGCCCAACAGAGCCAATTAAAGGATACAGTGCTGCACCTGGGGCTAGAAAGGCTTGTCAGAGGGCAGGCTGTCTTAGGAGAGGAACCCTAGGGGACTGGAGTTAAGTTTGGTGGTGGGTCCCTGGGACAAGGGGGCAGCTGCTCAGGCAGGTAGCCCTCAGACTGGTGTCTCAGAAGGGGAGCAGAGCTGGAACAGGCAAGCTGCAAGAAGCAGGATTATTAGAGACCCCCCTGGAAGGGGAGGCTGGGAGAACCTCCAACAAAGGGTGAGCTGAGGAGCTGGTTTTGTCTATTCAACACTTCTCTCAGGACAAATAACCCTGTTTTTAAAAGAAGACTCAGGATGTCAGTGAGCGCTTGTGAAGCTGGGGAGACCCTCTGCCAGGTCACATTGGCTTTGTACACGAGTGTTGCTGCCTATTTGGAATTGGCAAGACAGGCGCGTTCCTGCTAAGGCTGGCTCAGTGCCGTTAGCCATTAGATTTGGGAAACTGCTCCAACTGTGAGCAAATGAATCCTTCACAAAATAAATATATACATAAATAAATAAATACAAATCCCTGAAATCACGCAAGTTTTCACTCCAAAGAGACCGTCTTGCAGTGCAACCGGGAAATGGCTCTTTGTTTTGGTTCGTTTCCAGCTTTGAGACGCCAACATGCAAGATGCTAGTCTGATGAAGAAGAGTTCAAGAGAGAACGTGACAGAGGTGAACTCTCAAAACTGTATTTGTTGCCATGCAAAAATCCCAGGCTGGAAGTGTTGTGAAGCCCCTAAAATCTCTCAACATGAAACAATGTCAGATTCTCCACATACACACCCATAATCTTATAAAGCAGTTTGGAACTGCCTTAATTCTCACAGCCGAGGGGGCTTGCTCATAGCTCTAACAACCACCCCGACAAGCCATTTGCTTGGAAGTCTTTTAACTACTCAAGTTGTTGACTGAACGGATCATGACTCACTAAATACCTGCAGTCACAGGACTGGATTGGGCAAAAAAAAAAAAAAAAGGTGCACATGAAACTTCCTCAGGAGAGTAGCCCCATTGTTTCCCATTAAGTTCACTTGC